TTTAGGTATAGCAATTAGTGTTTTTTATTTATTTATTTATTTATTTATTTATTATTATTATTATTATTATTATTATTATTATTATTATTATTATTATTATTATTGCAACATCGAAATAAAAATATTACTAATACAGACATTCGTGTATTAAACTATTAGCCATATGCTTGCAAAATAAATAAATATGTAAATAAAGTTTGAATCTTTATTTTGTTTGAATCACATTTTTAAAATTACGTAGGTTTAAAATAAATATTATGCACGAACACTCACATTTAACTTTGAATTTTTTAAATTCTTTCCAATCATCACTATATTGTAGTTGTGGTTCATGTACTCGAGTGCTCACTTTCATTTATTATTTTATTCAACTATCATATAGTGAAGGTATTTCAAAATACGATAAAAAATTATTTATAACATTAAATATGTGAAACAAATGAAAAATGTAAAAAGATAAAATAATTAACCTATTTGAAAAGAGTACTGAAAAAGTAAATTACTTTGTAGTAACTTCTAAACTACAAAATCATAATCAAACTATCAGACTTATTTTGCCAATAAATGAAATTGTAATTTATTTTGCCAATTTAGAAAAGTGAAAGACATATGGACCTAACTTGAAGTTGAAACTAAATGGATGCAGTTCAAAATTGAGTCATTTTTGTATTTGTTTTTTAAAGTATTTAATTTATATTTTTTAATTTTGATTGACCCATACTTATACATGTTTATTTCAATTACTCTATGTCAGTTTATTAATAGAATAATGTCTTTAGTTTATTCACAAATGAGGAAAGTAATATATTATAAAGATATTTTTAGGAAAAAGTTTTAAAGAGTACCATTAATGTGACAAATACTAATTTTCATCGAACATCACAATTTTTTTCTACGTATTTATTTGATTTAAAAATATTTATGAAAAAAAAAAATAGTACTTTATAGTCACAATTAGTTATATGTTGTTTCTATAATCACGATCGTTATTGTATGGTGATTATTATTTATGATAATAATAATAGTTCATCCACTATTAATATTATATTTAAAGAATCATTTTACAATATAATGTATAAAATTACTTTCATCGTACTTTTATTTTTCTCTATAAAATATTCTTAAACTATAATCTATTCACATAATTTTTTCACATCGCGCCTACCAATTCAAAGTTATTAGAATGATGCGAATTTAATATATATATACTAATTATCATTTACATAAAATAGTAGCAAAAAAAAGTCCACAATTTAATGCAGCCCATAAATAGTAACTTTTATTATTTTTTCTTTTTTTAGTACTCAAATGGATTGTAAAATTTTAACTTATACTTATCATCATATTTTAGAAATTGAATAATATATTGTAGACAAGATTTTTTAAAACTAATTAAAATTTTAATTATTATCTTAAAATCGGTTACAATATTAAGATATTCGATTGAAAAACTCAACTCTTCGAGATAAACATTTATTTATATTGGTAGTATCATTTTTCAATAGTACATTTTTTTTTAATATTGTAAATTATATCTTAGACAAGATAATTTTTATATAAATTTTTCAATAATATGTTATCTTAGACAAGATAATTCTATATTGTAAATTATATCACATGTTAACCCCACTTCTTTAATTTTTATAACTATTATTTAATATTGTTTACTCACTTATTAATTTAAAATTATTATTTAATACAATTTACCCGTGCATCTCAAGGGTTACGTGTTGGGCTCAGATGCGCAAATGCTGAAGATGTAAATTAAAAAAAAAAAAAAAACCGATGTAAAATGGGAACAATAATCCCAATCCAAGCAACTCAAGAATGACAAAGGAAAATCTCTTGCAATAAAACATGAATAATTCTTTTTCTGATGTGGAAGATCAAATTGAAGTGCACCACAGAGCATACTAAGAATATCTCAAATAAATAAAATATGCAAGAAAGAAAACACCAAGATTTAACGTGAAAAAAGAAACCTCCAATGCAAAGAAAAAACTACGGGACAACCTTCAAACAATTTCACTATATTTTAAGATAATTACAATATCTTTTCACACTCCTCTACACTAGAAATGTAAAATATAGTGACCTAGTGAGACCCCACTCCTATTCAAGTATTACAAACAAGGAGTAATAGACATGGTACCCAACTCGGTTTATTTTTACACAGTCACGGGATTTACTCAAACACTCTACTTTTATCTCACTGAAAAATAACACTCATGGAAACTGAATGTTGTTTATGTTCCTTATTTTTCTTCTCGCTCTTGGTGTGTCTATTACAGAAAAATGCTCCCTCTTTTTATAGAGGAGAAAGTGCAATGTGAACAAACAAAAGTTTGCGGCTGGTCTTCTTTTTTTTTTTTTTTTCTTCTTCTTCCAATAATGTTGCGCTCACCAAATTGTACTACGTCTTTTTTCTTTTTCCTTTTGCTGGACCCTACAATCCTCCCCATCCAGCCAAAAGGAAATATACTGCAACTCTTTACTTGCATTCCATGTCCATCAACTCGACACAAACCTGAAGTTGTCCCCAAGTTACACCTTTCGTCATCATGTCAGCAGGGTTTTCATCAGTGTGAATCTTTTTCAACTTGAACTGTTGTTTTTCCACTGCTTAACGTAGCCAGTGATATCTAACATCAATGTGCTTCATGTGAGAGTGGTACATCGCATTCTTACTTAAATCCAATGTGCTCTAACTATCGCAATGGATATCGTACCTTTTCTGGTTCATTCCCAATTGTTGAAGAAACCTCTTTAACCAAAGCATTTCTTTTCCTGCTTCCGTTATTGCAATATACTCGGCTTCAATAGTCGACAAGGCAACAGGTTTCTGCAATTTAGATTGCCAAGATACAGTTCCTCCTGCAAATGTAAACACAAGCCTTGAATTACATTTTTTACCATCCAGGTCACATGCCATATCTGCACCTGTAAAACCTTCAAGAACTGGGTTTCTTTTGTCGAAGCTCAAGCATTTATTTGCACTACCTTTTAGGCACCTCAAAATTCACATCACAACTTCCTAATGATCCTTCCCAGGATTGGAAAGGTATCTGCTAGCAATTTCAATTGCATGAGCGATATCTGGTCTTGTACAAACCATGACATACATCAAACTCCCAACTTCCGAGGAGTATGGAACTTCCCTAACTTTTTTTCCTTCTTGATTCGTAGGACAACTTCATTTATTGAGTTTGAAGTGATGGACTAACGGAGTATTGACCGGTTTAGCTGTTTTCATGTTGAATCTCTCTAGAATTCGATTCACATACTGTTCTTGCGATAATCATAACCTCTTGAATTTTTGTTTTCGCATGATCTGCATGCCCAAAATTTGCTTCGCAGGGCCCAAATCCTTCATATCAAAAGACTTTGCTAATCCCTTCTTCAAATCACCAATCAACTTCATATCATGTCTCACTATCAACATATCATCTACATATAACAAAATGATAATAAATTTATCACCAAGAAATTTCTTAACGAATACAAAATGCTCTGCATCAGTCTTCGTATATCCATGGTTTATCATAAACGAGTCAAATTTCTCGTACCACTGTCTTGGAGTTTGATTCAGTGTGTACAGACTCTTCGTCAATCTGCAAACCATATGCTCCTTTCCAGTCTTCTCAAATCCTTTTTGGTTGCTCTATGTAGATTTCTTGATCTATGTCTCCATGAAGAAATGCAGTCTTCATATCTAATTGTTCAAGCTCCAGATCCAAGCTAGCCAGCAATCCGAGTATTACTCGAATAGAGCTCATCTTTACAACCGGTGAGAATATCTCATCAAAATTTATTCCTCGCTTTTGTCCAAATCCTTTCACGACTAAACGAGCTTTGTACTTCACCAGTTTGTCACCATCTTTCTTAAGCTTGAACACCCATTTATTTTTCAAGGCTTTTCCGCCTTCCGGAAGCTTCACAAGCTCATAAGTTTCGTCTTCACCAGTGAATCCATTTCTTCTTGCATAGCTTTCATCTACTGGATTTATCCTTATGAGTCTGAACTTATTCAAATCTTTTTGGCTCCTCTTCTCCAGTGATGGTAATATACGTGGAACTAGGGTATCTCGTAGATGGTTGGATCGCTCGATTTGATCTCCTGAGGTGAGGCGGATCTTCGAGGTCTTCTTGCTCGACACCTTCACCATCACCATCTTCAATTTATGGTTCATTATTAACCCTGAGTTCTCCATCACACTCTCCCCCTGTTGTGGCATCTCCAGAATGTTTGACAGGTGAAAGATCCACCTTACCACTTGGTTCTCTAGTTTCTGTTGAAGCAAAATCAGACATAATTTCTTTTCTCGTGAAACACTACATCTCTACTTCTGATAATTTTTCGATTTTCTTGATCCCATAACTTGTAGCTAAATTCCTCATCTCCATAGCCAAGAAATATACAAGGAATGGCTCTATCATCAAGTTTTCGTCTATGTTCCTTACTTACGTGAGCAAAAGTTTTGCATCCAAACACTTTTAAATGAGAGTATTTAACATCATGTCCGAACCATACTCTTTCAGGGATATCAAAGCCCAAATGAACAGATGGAGATTGGTTTATCAGGTAGCATGTCGTTAGAACAACTTCATCCCATAATGGCTTAGGTAGCTTAGCCATTCTTAACATACACCT